GGTATTGCTCTTGAATAGGTAATGAAATAACTAAAAAGTAGGGAGATATGAGCGAGGCTTTCATTAATTAATTATGACTTCTTTATTTATGCAGACATTTCTTCTTTATTATAATTAACCATCCTACAGGCTGCTTTACCATCAGCTTTATGTTGTTTTGGCTGAAGGGTACAGCAGCAGGGTGATGCCCGCCTGCATTAAACAAGCCTCAATATGGGAGTTGGCTGGAAATGTGCCTCGGTGTGAAAGTGTGTCGATGCAGCTGTATGAGAAAGTAAGTGTGTTGGATGCTGTAAATGGATAAAAGCAAAAAACAAAAACAAAACACTGATTTGGGGATAAGACACTACCCAAAATAGGAAACAGCTACTTCAGTAAAATTTCTGAGGATTTCATCAGTTAATTTTTAAAAGCATGTCAGCAGAACTTAGAAGCTGCAAAGGAGATTCTACTAATATTATCCTGTATGTTCAAAGTGCTTTTTTGATAGAATCTCTCAGACCTATTACCTTGATGTCCACTTCAATTTTTTTTTTCCTGCATGGTTGCAGATGTTGCTCTCTTGTGTTTATTTTCCTGTGGATGATTTGAAACAGGACAATGTCTGGTAGTATGAAGGTTATTAAAGTGAACTTGATTTAGTTTAAGGTCCAGTTTATTTACAAGTGCAAATTTGCAGCCAATGTCATCTGAGGATACTTTATGAGAAAAAAGCAGGTCGAGTGAATATACAAATTACAGAATCCTGCTTGTTTTGAATTTTTGTTCATATCATAATGTGATTTGGTAAAAAGTTGTCGATCTACTAAACACTGGACTGGAGTCACTTCTCGGAAACCAGGAGGTTGTGGTGGCTTTGAAGGCTTTAAGGGTGGAAAAGGAGTCGTGGTCAGTCCAATGGTCATACACAGAGACGTAGTCCACGGGGCAGGGGTTTCTAAAAGGGCTACACAAGAGGAGGGTCGGAAATCCAGGCAAGAGAATGAGTAAAAAAGGCACTCTAACCAGCCAGAGGTAGAAAGGTAGGAGGCAGATCTGAGGTCCAGGCTCAGATAACACCCGATTGACCGAACACTCCAGATGGACACAGGAAAACAGACTTGGTCAAGAGGAAAGACAGGAGGTTGATGTCCAGAGAACAGAAGCCAACATGAGTATCAGGGGCAAGGCAGGCAGGAGAAAACAAGAAGAAGAGATTTGGAGAATAGGAGGTCAAAATCCCTTGAAGGTCTGCTGCCAAAAATGGCTTTCAAGATCCCACAGGAAGACAACAATATATAAACAATAAACAATATATAGAGCTCCACCAGGTGCAACAATCAATTGGAGCTGCCACAGAAGCAGAGAGATAAGGAAGTTACATCTTGGGTATGCAAAGAGCAGGTTCACAGGCAGGAATGGACAGGAATATTTCACACCTGAAAGCACCAAAACAATCCCTGCAATGCATTGTTTCTAAAGCTGATCCATCTGTTTGTCTGTCCATCCATCCAATCATCCATCCATTAATACATCCATCCGTCCGTCCGTCCGTCCGTCCGTCCGTCCATCCATCCATCCATCCATCCATCCATCCATCCATTCCTATTGGAGATTTAGTAATGATTGTTTCAAATTGAAGCATGAAATCTAGACCTCCCTCTTCAATCACTCTCCCCAGCTTAATGTTTGGTGCCATTGCATTCTCAGTGTGGAAGGCATATATAGTGTCTACTGTGATTACCTGGTCTATCCTAGAATAACCTTCCTATAAAAAAAAGAAAGAGAAGAAAAACCTCCATAGCAATCTTAACTGAGTCCTTTGGGTGTGAAGGAGCAGTTGCTCTATCCTGAGCTCTCCAATGGTGACTCCTAAAAAGGGAAGCTCATTCCAGCCGGTGGTATCTGGGATAAAGTTGTCTTAGTCCTGATTTCAATCTCATCACTGTAGCTGAAGATTGGAAAGTAGATGGATCAGTAAATTGGGAGCTTTGCTTTCTGGCCAGCATGATGCAATTTGCTATTTACTGCACACAAGTTCCCAATCCTGCTATAAACTTCCATCGCTCAAACAAGACACCAGGTTACTTTGACATGTCCACTTGTTGCAGACACTCATATCTGACCTACAGGCAGTATTACACTTTTTTTCCGGTTGAGAACTGTTTCCTATTTAACTATGAACCACTAGAGTGCCCTCTTAACCTGGCTATTTAAAGACAGTATCTATACTCCATCATCAGCAGAAAGCAGTTACCAGACTCTACGGCTTCCCAACAAGTCCTCTCTTCTCCAAGACAACACCTTGAAGCCCTGTCTGTCAACACTTCTAACAGGATCAGTGACAAAATACACCCCCTCTCAGAGTCCATCCTGAGCCAAGAACAAGTTTCAACTTTGTGCTGAGAATGTGGACAGCACTTTTGCTTTGGTTTTACAAGGACCGGATAACCATTAAAAGCATTCAAGGTGCCCCACAGTTCTGCAGCTCCTCCTGCGAATTTGCTTCGGGGGACATATAGTGCAATTCCATGCTGATATTAAACTGTTATATAGATCTGGAGAGCCCATTGAAACAAACCCCTCAAGGCTGAGCAAATGCTAAAATCTTTTTTTCAAAACCATAAAAATAAAAAAGTACAAATTCCATTACTTATTCTCCAAGCACTGTTAAATCCTGAACATTTTTGACAAAAATACATCACTTATTGAAATAGACAGGCTTCTCTGTAGTTGCTTTGATAATCTGTCAGATGTTTAAAAGCAGAGAAATTTCTTTTTTTTTCATTCTCTCAAACCCATAAACCGTGCAACTTCGGGAAACAGACTGCTGAAAAAAGTGAAAATGTCACCTTGCCATCTTTCTTTTCTCTATATAGCGTTCTAGTAGGGTAATGACTTCAGAATGGTCAGATACCTGGAGAGCATTTCAGTTCGGCTTTTAGATAATACCCTATTAAAACTCTTTAAAGCTTGTAAATGTAACATCTAATAACGGTTCAATCCTGAAGATGTTTCTCTGTTTCAACGTTACTCTCTATCATTATGTGAGCCATCTGGCAGAGAGCCTGATATTTTTACATTATCTGCTTTATGTATGAATACAATGATCAGGGATAACAGAATAGCAAGCAATGTGACACTGATAACGTTTTTTTAAATGCTAGTTTTTAGTGGGTGGTATACAATATGCCTTTGCTATATATTGTATCTTGACATTGATAAGTGTAGAAATTTGAGTGGGGTTTGACAAGGTCAGAATAGAGATAGATCACAGCAGGAGCATCAAAACAGCATATCTTGTAGAGATTAATAATAATAATTCAATTCAGTTTATTTATATAGCGCTAATTCAGAACACATGTCATCTCAGGGCACTTTATGTGATGATCTTGGTACTGATGACTGGTCTGATTACTCATTTCACTCACCTGCCTATCTCCGCCCAGTTCTCCTTACCGCACATCTGATCCCCCTTCTCAAGCCTCGATTTAACCAGCCTTCAACCAGTCATCAGTGCCAGATTGTTCATACCTTTAGTGAGAGTTTTCTATTGTACCTGTGTGCTTTGATTGCCTGATCCTGACCCGTTCTGCCTCTGAAATTCTGAGCCTATCTGTCCCCATTCCGATCTGTTTGTCTGACCTGTTTTGAACTCCTGACGGATTTCTGCCCGTCTGTGACCCAAACCTGGAACTATTCCCTGACTCCGATCTAGATTACCCTTCAGCACCTCTTTGGACATCTGATTTTCCACATCTTGTTGGCAGCCGAGCGGCTGGAACCAACCTCATCCTCTGGGCACGGACTGAACTATAAGATTAGGTTAGAGACCCACACGTTCATTATCATACTCCACCAGATAGATGTGGTCACTAACCTGTGTTCTCCAGCTGCAGAGATTCCTGCCTTAGACGCCGACCCTGTTTACTGCAGTTCCTTTTCTAATAAACGTTTTGAGAAATCAAACTATCTGTCTGCCTCGAATACTGAGTCCAATCTTTCTGAGTGTTACAATTTACAGAGACAATTCAATCAGATCATAGAGTCAGATTGGTTCAGAGTTTCCCATGTAAAGAAAACCGGCTGACTGAGTCGACTCATTGACAGAGCGTGCATGTAGCTACTGTGAAGAGCGTAACTCCCTTTTAACAGAAAGAATACTCCAGGAGAACCAGGCTCAGTCATCTGCCATCTGCCGAGGCTAACAGGGGTATAATAATGATATAACTGATAATAATAGTTAATAGGGGTGTTCTAAAACAACTTTTTCACTTCCAATATGATTTTGATGTCATAGCTTTGTTTAGGGACCGATACTCATAATAACCTGGTAGAATATCATGAAATAAAATAACTTTTCTACTGACTTTCTGGTGTGAAATTAAAGTTATCTTACTTAAAAAGAGAAAAAATAGTCTACAACAAATAGTAAGATAAAAACTGATCCATTTATTATTAACCTATGGGTTGGAAACACTTCTAATAGAACCTGTTAGAAGCGTTAGATGCAGGTTGATTTGCAGGTTGATTTCAATATTACCTTTTGGGTTGATATGTGACTGATATCCAACAGCACCATTGTATCATGATATGTCTATAAAGTAAAGGTATTAGCAAATAATTAACAGGTGTTATTTGGTTTGATTATTGTTGTGCAGTTCTATGTTAAAATTTGTAAAAGCACTTAGGATTTGTTATTCATTTATTCTATTTTATCAAGAAGTGCAGCTTTTCCTCTAAGTGGAATGAGGGTGCATGAATGAGGGAAGGGTAGGAGGGGAATTGGGGAGTTGGAGATGAGGGCGTACAGAGAGGCCGTGGGGGTTTAAAGAAACCTATGGGATGGGGGTGCATCTGTATAGGATATGTGTGTGGGAGGAATGCTTTTGGAGGGTAAAAGCAGAGAGGGAAAGGGTGGTGGTGGAGGAAGGGGAGGGTGTGGGTGAGTATCAGAGGCGGAGCTGCGCGCAGGATTCTCCACCCTCGCGCTCGCCTGTGAGCCCCTCGCTATTACCTGTTTGAACAGAGCTGATGTGAGCGCGACTTGGCGAGCACATGCCACGTTGGGAGAGAATCCAAGAATAAGCAGCGCGAGGAGCAAACCGAACTGGGCGCAGCAGGACACTTTGATTTAATGCGCCTGTTTTAATATTAAAAAAGAAACAAAAAAATAACTGAAGTGGGTCTCTACAAACCTTTAAATCAGAGGAAGCTGACGGAGGACCCATGAGAGTCGCCAGGATGATGCACTTGTTGTCCCTCCTCTTCTGCGCGCTCCTGTGCCAAGGTAAGCTCTATATGTGAGGTTTGCTGCGCGCTGGAAGCGGTAGGCGCAGGTAAACGCAGGATAGGGGCCAGCTTTTATCTGAACGCGCAGCCACAACTTAAAGAAAGAGTTAACTAGAATACGGATTTTAATCATATCAGCAAGTTTGTGATCTATTTTATAGTTTTTTTTCTTTAATTAAGCGTTTGTGTTGAGTGTTTGATTGAAAAACAGAAGAAATTCTCTATAATTACGCATGTAATACTAAATAAAATTATCTTTAAGAAATCAATAAAAACTTTTTTTTTTGTTATCCACTTGATATCGATCTAGAGTGACTCATTACTATAAACTCATTATGCGCACTTTGTAGATCTATGCAGTGGTCATTACCTCCTCCTGATTCGTGTTTGTGCCATGATGATCATCTCATTTACATGAGTCGTTTGTGTGCGTGTGTGTTTTGGGTCATTGTTAACAAGCAGGCTGTTGGGCCGAAGGATGCTGCTTTCCTGTATGATTTATGATAATTATGGGCTGCCTGTGCGAGTAAAGCATTCCTTACATGCTCTGTCTAGTAATTACACATAGGGATGTTGGCAGTGACTTATGTGAGTGAATGGGCCCCTTAGTTTTAACCAAATGAAGTGGAATCTTTTGTGTTTAAGCACAATGCAGAAGGTATGTGTTAGAGGTGATTTGGTTTAGTGAGAAATAATTTAAATATGGACAAAAGATGTGTGTGCGCGCGCTTTGCACATGTTTTGCATTTGTGGTCATGTCTAACCCCTTTGTAGTTTTCCACACTGTCTGCTCCTGTTGGGTCAACAGGTAACAGCACCATGTGTTCACATCACTCAGCCAGACTTCAGGCTATAAGCTCAGTGTACTTCCTGGGATAAGAGAGGGGCGGGGAGGCTGATCCCATTCTGCTCCCCTTTGCTTTGCTGCACAGCAGTGGCGCCTGTTGTTGGAAATGAACACCGCGCAGCACCTTTCAGCCCAACTCAGGTGGATTTCTTTAAATGGAAATGAGAGAAAATGGCCACTCAAGCTGTTAGAGCAGCATTGCTGCAAAGCTGTGTGGTTTTAAAAAAGGGAGGTAAATCATCCACTTTTCTGTTGATTATGAATTTCTAATTATTTGGTAACAAGATCACTTAAAAAGTAAAATAACTATAAGATATTTCTAATGTTGGGTAAACGGTTCAAAACTCCCTTACCCTTTTCCACATACTATTTTATAAAAGATTACATTTATTTATTTATTTTGAGATCTCTTTTTTTTAAACACAAAACAAACATATACATTCTTGGCTCAAGATACTTTTTTTTTTAACATTACAAATTACCCCACCGCTCAGAACTACTGTGCGTCTACCCACAAGATAAAAAAGTAATAAAACATTAGTGTGTCATTTTTATACGCATATACATCATAGACCCAAAAAAGAGAGGAAAACTACATAAATAAATGAAAAATAGTGGTCCTCACTACAAATACAAAATACAACCACTAGGGTTGATTACATTTATAACAGCTAAAGTGTTTAAACTTAAAATTTTAAGCAACTGCTGCAGCTAGATACAGCAGGAAAGCCAGACTCGGTGAACAAATACTCTAAAATTATGCATCTGTTTTGGGGTTTTTTTTTTTTTTTTGTTCGCCTCTCCGACTCCACCCTTCCCCCACCGCCGCCCCTCCATCTCCTCCCTCCCTTATTGCCTGTCCTGAACAGGCAGGCAGACAGTCCTTGGTGTCACAGCTGGTCTTACTTGTCCGGCAAATGGGGGCTCTCCTCTTTTGCTAATGGACTAATCTCATGTGTGTTTGGGTGTGTGTGTGTGTGGGGGGGGGGGTCACCCAATTATACCTGAGAGTCAGTCACTCTCCACTCTTTCATCTACTAACTAGGTTATGTCAAGGCTTGTCTGATGCTAAATCTCAGGAAAAGGATTGAAGGGCTTTAATTGCATGTTTGGGTTCTGTGTTTAATTTCCCACAACTGTTCATTTATGCCCCGTCTCTTTTGAAGGAGGCTCACAGCTTTTTTTTCCCCCTCTCTTTGAAAAGAGATTCTTTGTTGTCTAGCAAGTATTGTGTCCTCTTCATGCAAAATTCAGTTGCAGTCATGAGAAATATGAGAAGTCATCCAAATCATAACTTGTGACAGAAATCCCACCGTTGTATGGCTAATTTTGTTATCCTATTTTAACTATTTTAACTGTCTCCTCTAACAGTTGTCTATGCATTGGATTATAGAAGTGAAAAGCTGTCTAAGCGAAGAGCCTTATGAGACTATAAATGATAGATTAACTTGATATAAACGTTAATAGATGTGCTTTATTTTCATGGATAGTTTTAAAGTACCTGTAGTCGTTATCTCTCCTGGACACTTTATTTTAGTTTAAATCCAGATTTAGTCTAATGCGAATTTACAACTTGAAAATAGCCAGACTAGTTATTCTCTCTAAAAAAAATGTCAATTTAAAAACTGTCATTTTGGTGTTTATGAACACTGTTGTATGATCTCCCTGTGTGATGCATAGTGAGACAGAACATGTAAAGCACTGCTGACCAGAACAGCTGCCTCGGGGTTTAGCAAGACGTTTCTATTTAAAAGTAACTAAATGTTTCCCCTCTTGTTTTGCTCGTGTGAACCCACTGTGTCCCGTCTCATGAGCAGCGTGTAACTTGGAGCCCCTATCTAACAGAAAGGAAAGGCGGCATAAAAATCAATACAATAGTGTTCACTAAAACCATTAAAAATTGTATTGATTTTTCCATCAATTTACTTTTTATCACAAAGTTGCAGAAATGTCGGGAAATGTGTATGTTTCCTGTTCCCATTACTTGCTTCTCCTGGGAAAATCATTGATGGTGCACCACTGCTTACATCCACATCCTTAAGGCTCACTTATGCTTGACACACATAAATTCTGCAAAGATATGAGATGGGCGGACACATCTGGAGCTTTTTGCTGCGTAGTGCTTTTCCCTTCTACCCGATGTTGTGGTTGACTCCCGGGGATGTATACGGCACAGACCGCAACCTTACAACACCACGTTACATGTAGAAGTAAAAAAACACAGCTGTTCCCAAACTTTTCAAAGCTTCTTTGTGTCATGTAGAAGAAATGTAGTTTTTTTTGTTTTGTTTGTTTGTTTCCAATCTGTTTGTCACGGTGAACTTTATGGCCAAAAATTTAAGGTCTTTAGATGTTCATGAGAATCCTCGCAAGAAGGAGCTGTTCCTTGTCCACCATGTTTTTCTGCTCTGAGCTGTCTGTGTAGTTACAGACCTTCTTACGTGTGCAACGCATGAAATCTGGCAAAGTGGGGCGTGGGTACTCAAATTTAGCCATGCGTACCTCATTGACGTGTCTAGCTTCTATAGTAAACATTTCCTGGATTCCCAATGCAGACATCCTGACACTTTTAAGCTGTAATGTCACTTCCTTTCAACAAAACAGTTGACATTTTTGAGACTGAAGTAGTTTTAAGATGGTAGGAAACCACTTTGATCCCGGACACCCTTGGACAACTGGACCTGGACTAGCTGTCCAGCTCCAGTTTCTTTAAATATTCATAGTTTTCTTTGCAACTACTAGCCTTAGAATGCAGATGAGAGGCCAGTTTAATGATACATAAAGTATTCTTCCCATAGCATGGTACCACTTTTTTGGCATGGGACTAAAAAATCTTAGTATTTCAACTAATACGCCAGCAGCTTCAAAATAATATTAATTTAAAAAAATAGCTTTCGAACTAGAAGTTAACTTCAGCCGGTGGGAATGGGATGTGGTTTTTGAGACTGGACTTGTTTTAAGAGAGAAGAAACACACATCTCTTTTGATTCCTCTTTGACAAGCCATTAGCTTCACAATAAACAAAGAAAAAAAATTGCAGAAAACAGAAATAACAGATGTTCAAAGGTTCATTAGATTTGTTTTTGTTTTGTTTGACTTTAACTATTTTTAAGATGGTAGATATCCACAATGAACTTTGCTCTTTTTGGTATAGCTACTGATATCACCCGCCATGACCATCCACTCTCAATTTATGTTAAATAAAAATACACAAAGTCCTATCTACAGCAGGTGAAATACTAATGGCGTATACCCTGAACTCATAAATCCAAAAGTATCATTTTGAGAGAATAAATGGGCTGTTAAGCTCATGCTGTCTGACTAACTACATCTTAAAGTAGCAAATGGAAAATCAGTCCTATTAATCCACAGTTCCTCTCACTTATAATAGGGATGTTTGAAATGCTCCCAAAAGGGAAATCTGTGCAAGTTATTGTCCTGCTGGATGCTTAACCCAAATTTGCCTGCTCATAATGTCTCTCAAAAGGCTCTAAAGAGCTCTTGGTGCTTAGTTGCGAGTGAGAATGTGAAGTGGACCCCTTTTTTCTTGTTTCACACAGTTAGCACACTTGTGTTTTGGATGAAAAAGACCACGGATAAAGGGAGACAGACGCTATTACTTATCCGAGAAGCACAAAGCAAGTGAGATATAAGGAGACAGATGTTCGCTGCTGAGAATAAGGCTTGTGTATGCTTATTTGTGTGCACCTTGCGCTTCACTGGCCTTGATCAGAATAAGAAATGAGTGGAAAGTCTGAACAGACGGCAGAGGTGTTGCTGGAGGATAGAAAAAAAAAGACAGGTTTCTTAAAATAAGAAAAACAAAACACAATCCTGACGCCTGTTCAGTCTGGCAACATCGCACTGTAAATTAAAGCAGCATTTGAGGCGGGGAGCTTGGTGTCATGTCCCACCAGGGGTCCAGAATTCCTAGCATCGCCCCTGGCAGCAGCACTTTACGACCATGACGTGAGAATAAAGTTTAAATGAATTCCCAATCTGCTATCTTTAGTTTTAGATTACACCTATATAAAAGTACCCCAAATATAACTTGAGGTTCTGATGAAAGGAAGACACAAGCATTGCACCGTTTGAAATTAAGCTCCAGAAAGAGCAAGTTTTATTGCACATCTAAAAGCAGAGAAGCTTAT